CTAGACTCATTGGGGTGATCACTTCATAAGGTATATAAATCTCTAATCACTGTTGTACACTTGAAACTAATAATGTATGTCAACCATAATTGGAAAATAAGTTGATTTTTAAAAATGGAAATATTTTGATTTAAGCACACCTACTTTAATAAAAATATTTAAATACAAAAAATTAATTTAAACTAGTATTTCCTTTGTGGACCAAAGTTTGCTCTCAGCTTTGTATATCAGAAACTTGCTGTGATTGTCATCCCAAAAGTATAGCTCATTCTCTCAAAGCAAATTCACATTAACCATATAAGCTTGTAAGAGTTGATATTAAGGAGAAACCCTGTTTATTAAGAAATATATCTAATGTAGACAGTAATGCTCACATTGTAAACACATTTTTTTCCTGTCTACTGATGTACATTGGCTGCTCGGAATATAGAACCACAGGAAAGGTTTTAATTGCATGCTTCAGTGTTGTACTGTGCTACATCTGTCCCTATGATTGAGTTATTCTAGTATAATTCGGAATCTCCTTGCCTTGGACAATGCCAGCTTTTAGTTTCGTGGTTCCCTTTCCTGTGTTTATGTTGTCTCTTCCCCATATGCTTACATAGTCTTTTCCCAAGTGAGTACACTAGCTTTCCACTTAATTTATTTTAGGTCATATCTTTGTACCGTCCATCCAAGGGGAGATTCGTGTTACATTACTATGTTCAGATTTTACCAGGTTAACTGAGGGCATCTGTATGTCTAGGTTCTAGGTGACACCGCACTTTCAGCGTGTGTGTGTGTGCATGTGTGTGTGTGTTAACTCTTCTGCTCTTGGAGATTATATTAAATGCATTCTTTTGCTGCTTGGAAGCATTTAGCTTAGGCTTCTCAGTCTTAGTGATCATGACCTTCCAATTTGTCCTTCAATTTCTGTCTTAAAATTCCTTCCTTCCACTTTTCTTTTACTTTGTTTCTTCTCTGTCAGCACATTTTGTTTCCGTTTTTATGCCTCTTTGCTCATGTTTCTACCTTTCTTTTCCCCTCAAACAATGTCATATTCTTAGCATTTCTAGCAATGAAAGTTATATTTGCTTTTGGTTGGAGAATTCACCAAAGTGTATTGTATGGTCATTTTAGTCCTCTTTGTTGACTTCTGGGTTATCTGTCAACCAGCTTCATAATTTCTGAGTGCCAAATGATTTGGCAGCCCTTTAAACTCTAAGTAAAAGCCTATTGGTAGCTGTTCATCAGTTTTGCAAAATAAATTTAGACACTTGGAGAAAGCTAAGTGCTTGGGGTGAGCAGTTGTGAGAAAAATAAAATAAAATTATAATTCAATTTTTACATAAAGTGAATATACTTATTTTTTTAATATACTAAACATATCAAATTTTCCTCCTGTCTGTACACAAATGCTGAGAAAGTTAACCTAGAGAAGCATTTTTTGATGTTGGAATGAAACTGAGAACATGAAGCATTCCCTTTGCTTTTAGATTCCCTTATGCAGTAATGACAAACATAGTACTTCTTAAATTGGAATTTTAAAATTGGAGTCTAGCTTTCCCATGATTGGAATGTAACCAAGGACCAACTGTGCCCACTGCTTATTAGTTAAGTTTGGTTAACAGTGGTTAGCAAATGGTATATAATCTCATGCACCTGCAGGGTACGGCAGTTAGAAACATTTGTTAATATACTTTAAGGCAAAATTTATCACTTGTTATTAATTTATATTATGAATGACTTAACTTTCAAAAAACATATCATTAACCCCTATTATGCTGCTTATGAAATGTAGAAATTTTTTTTTTCCACTTAAACTTAGTCTAAATGGCTTTTCATTTATGCAAATAGGATTTTTTCCTAAATTAGATCTAACTTTGAAACAAATTCCAAAGAGATTAACATATCTAGTGGAAAAGAAGCCTGGTTGCTCTGCATTCTGTTACTATACTATTTCTTTGAAACATTGAGTGAACAAATGAGTATTACTACCTTCCTGGTCATTTATTTAACAAATATTTATTGAACACACTTAACTGTATGTCTTCCACTATGTTAGGTATTAAGGTACAATGTTGAATAAAACAAGATACTTGACCTCTTCATTGAATTGATAACTTACTGGGAGAAAGATGCATTAAATATAATCAGATTAAAAATAAAGTATTAAATTAATATGCATGATAAGTTCTATAAGCACTCCTAAGTGCTTATAATTGGGAATTTTGACTCTCTAGGTAGGCCAAAAAATGCTTTACTGGGAAATGAAAAATGGACCAAAATCAGAAGGATAAGATGTTAACAAGCTAACATGGGGAGAAGGAGCATACCTACCAGAGGAAACAGCAGGTGTAAAGACTTGCTGGTATATGTGAGCATGGTAAGGATGAAGGTCTAAAAAAGGACCCATGTGGCCATCTTAAGAGCAATTGGAAACCATTGAAGAGCGTGAAATAAAGGTGTGATATGACATCTGTGTGTTAAAAGTGTATTCTGACTGAGTTGTGGATAACCGGAGAGGGGCAGGAGTGGATGTAGAGAAACCAGTTACCAAACTCAACTTGGAGACGTAGGAGGTGAGGTCAAGACATAAAAAGAGTGGTACAATTTGAGAGTTAATTAGGAGATAAAATTAACAGGACTTGATAATAGATTTATTATGAGAGATTTAGAAACCGGAGCTACCTATAATCAGTCCTAGGTTTATTACTGAAAAGATTGTTCCATTCCTTGGAACTTGAAACACTAAAAAAGGCATCAACGTGGGTTGAGGTGGAAGGGATTTTAAGCATACTGCAAAGGAACTGTCGAGTAAGCTGTTGCACATTTGGGTCTGGAGCTGAGAAACAGATCTTAGTTGAATGTAGAAATTTTTGAGTCATCTTTGTTTAGGTGGCAAATTGAAACTATACGCACATAAGATCACTTAGGACTAAAAAGTGAGAAGTAGAGCTGGCCTAGGACTGTCCTTTGAACTCTAACATTTCATGACTGATTAGAGGTGGATGAGCCTTCAAAGAAGTCCAAAAGTGGCTAGAGAGGCAGAAGGAAAACCAGGAGAGCATTCTGTCATGTGTCCTGTAAACCAAGGAAAAATGTTTCAAGGAGGAGGAAGTGGTCAACAGCGTCAGATACCGTTGAGATTTCAAGTAAAATGAAATCTGAAAAATTCCTGTTGGATTCAGGGATGTTTAGAAATCATTGGTGTCTTGGACACCACAAACTAATTCCACAAACTGGAATTATGTGGCATGTACAAATGGAGGTAATGAGTTTGAACATCTCCAGAAGATGGCTCTGAGGCAGTTGAAGACCAGATGCTCCTGGTGGACTTTTTAGTGAGGATGTTTTGTCTTGTTCTTAATGCAAATGACTCAAGTATGATAAAAACAAATGGGAATAATCCATTTAAGAGATTGACAGTGCTAAAGGGATAATGTATAGTAAGGGTTCTAGGATAGCAGAAAGGATGGGATCCAAAACAGTTAAAAGATTAACCTCAGATATCTGTAGGATTATTTCTTATGATATAACTTAAATAATAGAAGAGGGTGGATGATGCAAGTGAATTTGTATTAATGGTAGTAGAAGAATGATGGTTCCCGTCTGATGTTTATTTTCTCAATGAAATTAAAAGAGATGAAGAGGAATGCCATTATTTTAGGAGAGCAGACAGAAGTTTAAATTAGTTACTGTAGAGTGAATTGAGCAAAAAAATATATGTCTGATTGCTAGGAAGTATACAGGCCCGTTTGAGGTTAGTTATGAAGTTACAGTAGATAGAATGTATCAAGTATTTCCTGTCTGTTGGGATACTGTGATAACTCAGAATGTTATTTTTATTTGAGATTAATTAGAGGGATTACTAACCATAGGGGAATTTAAGATATTGGCAAATGTTGATCTCGTACCTAAACTGGATAAAAGGAGGAAAATTAAAAGCAAAGGACTAACCATTTGAGAGAAAGTGTAGGGGTCAGTGAATTGCTGATCCCAGTGAAGTCAGAGACGATTGTGGTGGGTGGAGCTGAACAAGCAAATTGATAGAAGTTGTAATCTTGTGGAATATTTGAACTGATCATTTTAGAAACGGAATGGTTATAACTGATAATAAGGACAACAGTGTGACCATGAACGTAGATGACTGAGATGGAATGAATTAAGTAATTAGAAAAGAGGAAGTCAAGAAGTGAGGATATATTGGGTGAGATATCAAGTAGGCATCTATATCACTAAGAATGATGGCAAAACTTAGGGTGGAGAGATTATAAATTGGTTGTCAATACCTTCAATGTAATACAGAGGGTGGATGATACTCATGAAAGGTAAGGGAAGGTATTACAGCTAAACGCAAGAGCCTTAAGGAAACGATGATCTTGATATTGTTATTTTGGTAAGAAGAATTAGTAGGATTGTGTGTGCCAGGCACACGTGCAAGGCACAGAAAACACTGTAAATATTGCAAGTCCCCTGTCCTCTAGGAGCTGAAAAACTGTAGAAAAAGAGCCACAGTGATTAATGACAGTATGGTGAAGTAGATTCTACCTACAAAGTATAGTGGGAGCCCCAAGGATGGGGTGGTTTTCTCTAACTAAAGAAGTCATTGAAGGCTTCACAGGAAAGGTTATGTCTGAACTGAGTTTTATATAGCTCCTTAAGTGGAAGAGGAGAAGACAGTACAGGAGGAATTAGTAGATGTATGGCTCCGAATAATGATAGACAAAACATAAAGTCAAAATGATAACATCCCATTGTACTAAGTACTGTTATAACATATAGTTCTTTATCATTAGAATATTTCCATCTCTTGGCCAGTACTGTTTTTAGAATTCAGTATCGCTCTCGAATGGGATGATTTAAAGCATGTTTCTCTGGGGGG